TAACAAACTAAACAACGACAACTAAGTAAGGTTAGGTAAGTACGACTACGAGAAGTACGTAGGAGGAAGACGACACTAAACGAAACTACGTAATAACTTACTTACTACTACTCTCTCTCTCTCTCTCTCTCTCTCTTACACACACACACACACACACAACACACACAACAAAGAAATAAATGAATCCCTTCCATTCTCAATGGGGAGTGCAGCACTATTAAGATAGAGTCATAGCAAACCAGTGTGAGACCTCAGCAGATGATAGCCAGATATATAAAGACCAGATATACCAGGTTGAGCATATATGCTAACAAATCAGATCAGATATGTTTTAAACTTACTCAGAATCAGTCATTTCCCTCAATATGAGGGAAACAAATGAAATGATTACTAAAGTAAAACAATGATAAAAATATTGTGGAAGCTCTAAACACCATCATCGTCAAAACAATGAAAACATTAAACTTGCAATTTGTCCCAAATAAAATCATACTCTCTCGTTTTATTAGGCCTAAGAAATGGATAGATAGATGATACAAGAGATCAACTATTGCTAGTAACTAACAAAAGGGAACATATGAACCCCAAAAATAAAAATAAAATACATGAACTTAAATCTAAGTTTCATACTAAATTTCTTGTGATGTCCATTTCTACATCATCATCATCATGCAATCATAGCCTTCCATTATAATTTATTCAATCATAACCATCAAAACCATTTATTATCCTATTAAAGAGAGTCTTGATGCAAATAGATCTAGTGCTATTTGAAAATCATTCATCAAAATTCAGGATAAAGATTCTCTTTCTCAAAGGCATCTTCCCTTATATAGTCCAAAAAATAAGATAGCTTTTAAGTTTTGGGAATATATCAACATAAAAGTCACACCACAGCAAAAAATCGAAGAGGACTTTAATCAATCAATTTACAGAATTATCAAAAATAGTTGCAGTTAGGTATCCCGTCACCTATTTTGTCAAAAAATGCATAAATTGCCCCATTCTAGTTTAGGAACCTTAAACAAGCAAGGGTATTTTGATGATTTGGCCCACTTAATATACTTGAGCCAAATGGCCTAAATACCCTTGCTTATTCCATCTTCAAAAACTGGAATACACTTTTTCATTAAAATATCTTTATCCTAGTTTGAAACCTAAAACAAGTAGGAGAATTTACATCATAACACGCTTTTTTTCATTAAAATAGCTTTATTGCAGTTTAAAACTAGAAACAAGCAGGAGAATTTACATAAATATCCCAACTGGCTTCCTTAGACCAAGTCAATGTTAAAAAAAGTGCAGGCCGGTGCCTGGGCGTTTTGGGGGCGTAACAGCCTAGGCGGGGACGGGTAGAGACTATTCACATAAGAATTAAGATATAAATTATAATATAATTATTGTTTATTAAAAAATATCCATAAGATTTGGTATTGGATATCAAATATTCACAAAATATCAATTCCATCCAAAGCTTATGACTATTCACAAAATATAAGTCCAAATCTGTAAATGTTCCATCTACAAATATGTAAAAATATCAAAAATGTAAAACAAAACTAATAGGATATCTAAACATCACACATTGTACAAAGTAAGAACCAAGTATTCATAAAATAAATTGATATAGGACCAATTTCATCGTTCAAATGAATTAATAATCAATTAATCACAAAAAAAAATCATCTTTCAAGTACAAAAATGTAAATATATAACAGAAGGAAAAAAAAGGTAAAAAAAAAAATTGATTCAAAACATTATACATCATAGCAAAAAAATATCAAAACTCTTACTCAATTATCATAATTGCATAATGCTCTAAAAATATCAAAATGAAAACAATGTCGGCCCAAACCTAATCTATCCGATCTCCAAAAGTCCTCACTATTGACCATCAGAAGCTCTGAAATCTACCACGAAGCATTGCCTTTGATTTTGGGAAAAATCGAAATTTTTTCGATCTATTTTTAAATCACAAAATAGAGGTTTTTGGAGAATTTTTCTCTCTCTAGATGGTACAATTTTGGTTTTGGAGGTTTAGAATGTCTACCAAATCCCTTTTCCCCCTTTTTTAAAAGGGGGGGGGGGGGTTTACTATTTTGACCGTAACCGAGGGCATTTTTCTGCCCTCAGCAACCTGCATCGAGGAGGTGCCTAGGAGGCCGCCTTAACTATAGCGCCTAGGAGCCTTGACGGTAGTACCTAGGTGCCCCCGCCTAGGCGTTTTAAGTGATTGGCCGCCGCTTAGGTGGCTAGGCAGCCGAATTTTCAAACAACTGGACCAAGTGTTTTTTCCTCTAATTTTGAAATTTGGAACAAGTATGAACACAGATCATTTGAATTAGGTGACTTATGTGGCTTAGATTACAAAAGGGCCCTCTCTAGTTTGAGTAATTTTTTAACAAAATAGCTCAAAAGGAACCTAAGTGAAAAGATTGATTAAAAAGTATCCACTATCGGTGAGTAAATTTTTGAGAAAGCACTATTGGTGAGTAAATTGATCTAATCAGCCATTGATTTTTTGTGCTAGTTGGAAATTTTACTGATATTGTTCTCAAATTGTTTTATTTACCAAAAATTAGAAATATGACACTTCCATAATTTTTATTATTAATTGCAAATTTTTATAACTAAAAGTTTTCATGAATTTAAGATAAGTGACATGAAAGGCACGGAGAGTTGAAGCCATATGGCTTTTCAAAGTCAAATTTATTCAAAATAAAAAAAGGTCAAGTCTTTATCAACATCATAATCAACACTTAGGAATGAGTAGAAAAATCCATAGGAATCACATGAGTCCCAACACAAGTTCCACAATGGTATGGCACATAAGAAAAACTAAACTTAAAAGGCAGATATCTACCATGCCATATGCGTAAACACATGCACAAAAAGGTGAGAAGAGTACCAAATGGTATAACAAGTAACGAGAATGAGATAAAACTCGAGGAGTTCACAAAGCAGATACCAGAAGCAATTAACTAAAGTTGACTAGGCCAATTGTACATTTCTTAACCAGTTATACAAAGTTAACCTTTCTCAAAAAAAAAACTAAAGTTGACTAGGATATTTTGTGCAGGGAAAGAGGAGGAAGAGGGAAAGATGCACAATAGTGAGATTTGAGGAGGAAAATAACATGGATAATTGAGAGATCTTTTCTTATAATGGTAGGTAACAAAGCTTTAATAAATTCATAATTCTGAGAATATAGACATTCTAAAGCACAACACATGGTAAATAGAAAAAAATGATATTCAGGTGTTCATTCAAGATAACTTAAGCACAATACATGACCTGACCCTAATGCAGAACCAAAAATACTCAAACCACATAATAACGAGAGGCTTTTCTTGACCCTATAAGATCATCCCCACATACAATACAGGAAAATAAAACCAACTCCATGAGGAGTTTTTGTTTCTGATTAGAAAGGCAGGTGGACTTACCTCATAAAAAAAAACTGCCCCTGCAGGAATTTCGACAAAGCGATTAGATGGCAGTAAAAGGATTCTCTCAGAGTGATCATAGGAGAAAGTGATTCTAGTACAGCACTCATTTGATTTTTCCCATGTGATGATATTCATAGGAACAATACTTTCTAGTTTGCACCTCCACCACAAAAGTCCTTTTCTTTTTCTGGATACCATTTCAAAAGCCTCTAAACTACTAATATTTTACATCAAACACATGATACGTGGTGCTAGAAACACTGAAAGATGAAAGTACATTTTTTTTCTTTAAGATAAAGAGCAAGTAAACTTCAAATACCACTATTTTATAAACAATTATTTTTTAGAAAAGCAAATATGTTTTTGATAGAGGAGGAAGTGGGAACCATCACTCTTGCCAATCCAGACAAAAATAGGTATGGGTGCTCGCTTACTTCAGAAATCAAATAGATTCAGCATTGAAATAAGCATCTCTTAAGGGTTCTTTGACAATGGAAAACCAAAAAACCAAAAAAACAAATATCTACCCTCCCAGAGTTCTCTAATCCGGTCACCATATTGAAAGCTATCAAAACAAAGGGCTGCTTTTGTATTTAATAAAAATAGTGTTTCTAATCTTATATACATGTCACTAGGTGACTGGAATTACAAAAACAACTCCAGAAAACCCTAATATTGACCCAAACTAGTTTAAAATATATGGACTTCCAAATTAGCCTAGTAAGAATTGTCTAATGGACAATCTTGACTTTTAACATGGCGAATAATCACCAAACAACCTTGGGTAAAAAGTATAATTAACAAAACATTGGACAAACTTAGGAAAATAACCAATTATATTAAAAATTTCGACAAAACCCCCTTTATAAGAAATATATCTAAGGTTAGGTTAAGAAATACACAGCAGCATATTGCTACAAAATGTATTACACCAATGAAAGGAAAATGAAGAATTTCGGACAGCTAGAATGACCATTGTACGTAGATTTGAAGCAAGTATGGAATCCAAGCAAACATGAAATTCAAGCAAATATGAAATCCAAGCTAGGCGTGCTTAGGTGGGAAAGAACCCTGGGTATCAAAACTTCCCAAAACCACCACTCTATTTCTTAGGACAACTTCAGACAACTGAAGTTGATCCAAATTAAATATCCAATAATTATTTATGAACTCATTGTTTTAATTTACACAAAAAACATGCATTGTTTTAACCATTGATCGTAGCTCTATACATTATTGTTTATCACTCAAAGCTCATCTAAATAATCATCACTTATTAACTTTCTCCATCCACATCACAATATATCAAAGACCATCACTTAATGTGTGATCACAAAATATTTAATAGACAAAACAACCACCATAATATAAATCCATTACAACCAACCAATTGAGAGCATTTTTATAGAAATAGTTAAATGTCATCTTGTAGATGAGTTGGAACTTGGAATCGTTCTATAGACTACAAAAGTTCCAAATTAAAACTGGAAATTTGCTGCCACAGAAGTTAATTCAGTAATATTTGAGTAACATCTTCCACCACCATCTTCACAGGCATATCTGTCTCTTTGACGGATGCTCTAAATGGTCTAGCAAGATCACAATAATTGAAATATTCCACAGTTATCCACAGAAACCCTGAAACAACTCATCCGGATCCCTTGTTTTATTTTAAGCTGACATTTTTTAGTGAGCACACCAATCAGATAAACCAACATCTAAATTAACAAGTGGACCACATAAAGCACTCAATGTAAACCTTCTCACTGAGACAGGACCAAAAGCCCCTCTCTTGGGGATCCAAAGGTTTTCTTTCCCTACTCTTAAAACTCCTATCTGCAGAGTACTAGGGTTACCAATGGGAAAAAACTAAAACTCTTTTGAGCATAGAAATTTTTTCTATTGGTTTTTAAACATAACAATGTTATCTATGAAAAGAAATTTTTGTTTTTTGGGTGGGTAGGTCAGTGGGGATTATAGGTCCCTACCGTTATGGAATAAGTCAATTTTTTTGAAAGTGTTGGTGAGAATGGAGGCCATGACCTTTAACTGAGACTCAAGTGGTACTACCACCACGACCAGAGCCCCATTCTCATCTATGAAAATAATGTATCCATGAAAGAACCATGAACACAAATTTTCAAGTAAAACTTATAAATTCATTATCTTTAGACGAAGAGTCCTGATATTTTTTTTTCGTAAGAATATGTCCATCATTTTGCCAACCACACATGGTGAATAACCAAAACATAAAGCTTTTACAATTACATTGTGGGGAATAATGAATCATTTCAAAATAAAAACAAAAATAAATAAAGATTTCAAATCTCTGAACATACACCTAAGCTCTGAATCAATCCAGCAAATAAAATTGGAACCTTCGAATCAATAGATTTTCTTTTTCTTCCTTCTCCAATTATGAAATGAACTGATCATCTGAGGCCAAAACCCAAATGCAACAGATTTTTAACAAAAAACACTGAAAAAAAATAGCCAAATCAAAACTGAAAATGCAAATTTAATGCATGAAACAAAATATCTCAATTCCACATGGGAAATAACATAAACCTAAAAAAAAAGTTCACAGTTATTTCAACCGATCATTATTTCCATCTTAAATCACTATTATATAAGAACACAAGTCACAATGAATACAATTAAACCTCAAAGAAAGTTAAAAAAACAACTTTCAGCAAAGGCATGGAAAAATTTTTGGTATGCCGATACTTCAAAAATTAGAAGAAAGACCAACCATATCTTAGCGAGAGAAAATTTATCTAGGTTAACATAAAAGTGATTATTGGATGAAAATTAAATATAGGTGAGGCAAATAATCACAATAAAAGAAAAAGATAAATGGGAACAAAAACGAACCTCGACATCTTCAAAGGACCAGCGATTGAAAAGCTTCACTTCAGGGAGTGTAGCGACCTCCGCCATCTTCTCTTCTAACCTTTTACAGGAGAGGCGACTGGAAATGTGCCCAAAAACCCTAACTTCCCAATCTCCACTATCTACTATATATAAAGCACGAGCTAGGCGGGCAACACGCGCGGTTCAGCAAATCGTGTGTAAATGCATAAATGTGCAAACACTCTCGCAGGAGCGTACTGTGCATTCTCTTCCTCGCTCTAAAGTCTAAACACTTGTTTTGGATAACTTTTTGTATAAAATTTTGTAAGGCACATAATAATTACTAGATGATTATTTTTAAAAAAAAAATTAACTTTTAAGTTTTATGATACTTAGATTTAGCCCTTCAAAAACTAGACAATCTTTATTCAATCTTATGGCATAAGTTTTTGTAATATATAAAGGATTTGTTTTGAAAATAAAATAATTGTTTTATTTGTTATATAGATTACCTCCCCCAAAATTGATATTAAAAAAGTAGCATATATTTTTCCTAGAGGGAGGAAATGGATGGTATCCTCCTCCAGAGGAAGAAATCGTTCGGCTTTATTAAAAAATATGGAGATAGCTTTGTACGTCATGTAATATATAATATTTTAAGATGCGGTTTGAAATTAAACATAAATTAAAGAAGGGCGTGGTTTGTATTAGGTTGTACCCTTAAAGAATCTATTTAAGACGCACTTCCAAATTTTATCGTAGCATATCAATTTCATGTAAAAATATTCTTAAGATTATCTCAAAATCTATTTTCATATCTAATTACAAAATTTTAAACTCCAAAAATGATTAAAATCAAGTAGATCTATAAACATATGCAAATCTTGCAAATGGACGGTCTAGATAATGTGTTGTAAGATACATCGTTTCTAGGACTCAAAATCCTTTCTTTTTTCATAGTCATACATCTCGACATCAAGATGATCAATTAGAGGGTTTTTGCAATATTAAAACAACCTTTTCTGATGGATTTTTGAGGTGCATCCGTAGTTCTACATTTTAAGGTTGCAACTTTATATAAACTTTTGGAGAAAATTTCATATGGAACCCTAATTCATAGTATTATTTCATGGTAAACCTTCATTCCATTTTTCTTTCAAGCCGCTTAAGGAATCCCCGAATATTACATTATACCCCATCATCTCTTATCTCCTTTTATTATTGACTTTTGATCATAAAAATTAACTCCAAAAAGTCTTTTTATAGCATTTCAACCCAAAAACGTTTTTAATAGGTGGAAAGGGAAAAAGATGATTAAAAAAGGTTTTGAGTTGAAATGGTAAATAGATTTGTTGTGGCTAATTTTTATGGTCAAAAGAGATGAGAGGGTGCGGTGAAATCTTTAGGGGTTTCTTTATACCACTTGAAAGAAAAAAAGAAAGAGGGTCTACCATGAAATAATAAGAGAAATTAGAGTTCTATATAAAATTTTCCTTAAACCTTTTCCATTAAAGAATAGAAAAAAGGTAAAGCTGTCAAAGTCAAAAAAATAAAAATAAAAATAAAATAAAATAAAAAGAAAATGAGCCTATTTTATGAGGTAACCAATAGTATAATTGAAGGAACTAATATTCATAGTATAACATACATATGCATCACATGTTCCTTGGATATATGATCTATCACCACAAGATCCTTATAAAAACATAAATTTCAATTTATTTTCTTTTAAATTATGCATTTAAATGTAGATCGTAATTTTAAATACATAACATATTACTAAATACGTTTTTTGTTTTTATTTTTATGGATTAAGTATACAATTTGTTCTTAAGGGAACATATTAGGCAATACTTCTACATAAGGATGGGAGATATAATATATAGTACAAACGTTGAACACTATGTAAGTATGTATCTTTTGGTTTTGTAATATAATATAGTTGCATATTGTACAATTTATAAGATAGGTATGTGTTTACGCACTTGATTTTGTTATATAATATAGTTGCAGATTGCACAAGCCATAAAATAAGTGTGTTTAAATGCAATTTTGAAACTAACGCGACTAATCAAAGTCCGACCTATCTGATATCGTATCTAAAATTAACACCAAATGCGGACCTACAAAAAAAATCAGCCTCAAAGACCTATCCTTGCATTCAACAACCGAGTTGGCTAAGGTAAGGTGAAATACAAAAGAAGCAAAAATAGAAGAAAACAAGAATAATATAACTATCAAAACAATAAAACTAAATGATGATACAATTAAGGAAAGTAATAAAGTAAGACATAATCAAGAAAATAAAGCATAAAAGAGTGAAGGAACTTGGGCACCCATGTGCAATACCACTTTATAGAGATTTTTTTTTTTTTTTTGCCAATTTTGATAATAAAAAATCTCAGTTTGACAAATATTGTAGTATTTATTCTTTGGAAAATCTGCCTATATTTGGTGATTTGGTTTCCTAAACTAAGGATTTGATATTTCTAAGGATATTTGGCTTCTTAAAATAGAATATTATGGATGCTTGGAATATTATCATAATATTCAGGGCTGAATTATGGTTTGGGATTGAGTGTGGTTCAGCATTAGGGGTGAGAATGTGGGGATAGATAAATTTGGATTGGATATGGGTTCAAACCGGATCTGAATAGTACACATCAGATTAGGATTCGGATTTGGATCTGAATTATTTTATCTATATACTATTTAAAAAAAATATCTATATGAAATAAAAATTTATTATTAAATAAACTAGGTTGGATCCGGGTTGGATTCGGATTGGATCCACCTGCACTTAGATCCGATCCGAATTTCAATTCAAACTTTTGGGTTCGTATCCGGATTTCATTTGGATTCGAATTGGATTTGAAATCCAGGTTTCGGATCCGGATAAGGGCAATTCTCACCCGTATTCAGCATGTCCAACGGCGTATCGTGATAGTGTGATAGTGTACTAGAATCCAAAAATAAAATTAAAATTGGGAGGAAATCTACCATATGGTGCCAATAAATCATGAATTTTATAATGACAAGACTAGTAATAGTCAGTATTTCAAAACCTCAATTAGTGGGGTGGATCGTCCACCACAAAAATAACGTTGGTAAGTGCTAATTTTGATCATTTGTTTTTATTTTCTACACCTACATTTTTTTTACTTTAGTAAAATATGATGTAAATATTGACATATAATTTAAATTTAAGTGTATAGGGCATACGAACTTGTCAAATATTTTGTGTGCCTTGGCTCTTAATTTGGGAATCACATGCTTTTAATATGACATGCTTTGGAATGACATATTTTTATTAAATTCTCCCATGCAGTTTCAAACCCCACTCTTAATATATTTAATATGGTTTAGGTCTCTAAATTTTTTCTTAATCATTTTTGCTAATTTGAATGCATATTTTTCATATTTTCTTGTCTCTAGATTACTGCATAGGTTATCATGTGCTTTAATTTTGGCATTACCTATTATTTTTTTAAGTGTTTTTCCAAGCATTTTTGTATTCTTCTAAGTTTTGATCATTTCTATTACAATATCAAGTTTTATAACGTGATTATTTTTTACTAATGGCATTATGAACCTCATCACTCCGTCACCAAGTTTTCTTATCGCAAATTTTTTTTCTCTAGTTTATCCTAAAACTTCTTTTGCCACTTTCTTAATATTGTCAACCATCTGATTCCATATGACATTTGACCTCATCTTCAGAGTTCCATTTTCCTTTTTTAACTAATTATCCATAAATAAGTTTATGATCTAATATTTAAAAATTCCACCACCTAATTCTCGAACACCTATTCATTTCACCTCCTTCTCTTCCATCTCTTTGTGCAGATATCCATAAATATGAGTCGATGTTGTGCAATTAGACTCTCTCTTGGGATAATCTTATAGCCTTTATATAATGATCAATCTACATTCGTAACTCGGACGAAGTCTATTTCATTTTTATATGATCCACTTTTATAAGCTATTAAATGTTGATCTCACTTTTTAAACTAAGTGTTTGTTATTACTAGGTTATAGACCATTGCAAAATCTAGAAGAGCTTCAACCATCTCATTTCTTTCACCAAATCCATATCCCCCCATATATCCATTCATACCATCTAGTATCCTTCCCTAAACCATTTAGGTCACCTCCTAAAAAGGTTATCTCTATTTGGTATGTCTTGCACTAGTCCATTTATGTCCTCTTAAAATTGTCTCTTAATTTTATCATCTAGTATTGTTTATGGTGCATAAGTACTTATTACGTTAATTATCTATTCCCATAATAGAAGTTTAATTGATAGGAGCATATCACCTATCTCTTGACATTAACAACTTTACCTTTTAAATCTGTCCATTTTTTGCCGATAACAGTTTTATTATTATCATTTCCTATATAACGCCTATTTATTTTCTTAGTTTTTTTTCCTTTCCACTTAGTATTATGGATAAATTATGTTTACTCTCATTCGTCTTTTTGCGTACATTAACTCTATACTTTTATATGTAAGCGTTCCTACATGTCATGTAACTAAACAAACCCTATTCTATTAGATTATTAAAATTTAAGTTATTGAAAATCCAAAATTAAATATTTTGATTTGTGATTTTTGGAATTGAATATCTGAAATACAAAATTTTGGATTTTCAATGTTGGAAATATGTGTACTTTTTAATAACAAGGTTAATAGCCCATCCAATACCCAGACGTTTTTAGCGTATAGAGTTTTTTATTTTCAAGGCTCGAAATAAGGGTCGTTGAAACAAAACAAAAAAAAGTTAAATTTTTAGGGATGAACCACTGATTTTAAAAGCCTCGGGTTGGCACATAATCACTCGATATGACCCAGGAATCGGTCACCCCGTACTGCTTCTATCAATATATAGGAAATCGGCTGGGTCTAAAAGAGGACCGATGATTGCTACAGTAAAAATGTCATTTTGCTACAATTAAAATGTCAATTCACCGATCTTGATAAGTTCTTGATCGGTTCACTGTTTTTATATGTATTTTTTTGCTGGTTCACTATTTTTTCCTACAATAATATGGCGATCCGGACCTCCAATTCACCGATCCAGACTGGTTTTGAGATGCCCGATCCTAGTCACCGATTGTTTTTTAAACTAGTGGGATGAACATAAACTATGAAATTTCAAGGGGAATA